CTCTGGTCCCCTCCCCACCCCCCACATCCCCCCACCCGGCCCCAATCTCACTGCACACTTCCCCGTACATGAGGGCAGAGCTGAGCTGTATATAGCTGGGGCTCGCCCTGCACAGGGAAAGCCCAGGTAGAATGCAAACACGTGTTAGAATCCAGTTATTCCGTGATGGACCTTCCTCTCCATCACCCTTCGTGGCATAATCTTGATGACAGGTTGGTTTTTAAAGATGCTTGCAGGCATTCTTGTAAAGTTTAATATAGTATCAATGCACATGTGTGTATTTCAATGTAAACCACTCTGACCAAGAAAGGGCTCTCAATACTCTTAGAAAAGTAAATGATTCTTGGAAGCAGAGCATACCTTTTCTGGGGTATCTACTCCACTTAGATGTTTGTTTTATTTTTATTTAAACCAACTATCTAACAAGGGCGGGTCTTTCTGTGAACAGCTAGTGAAATACCAACATGCAGGAAACATTTTGTGAACGTCCCTAAATTGAATCCACATCTCTGTTGCAGGGATAAAGTACTAAGACCTATAGATAGAAACTACAGCAAAATTATTTCACTAATTCAATATTTTATTTGATGTCAAAGCATCTTAACTTTGAGTTGTATAAGAGTAATCTCATTAGTAATTTTAGAAGAAACAGTTCTAGAAAATATCAATTTATTATCAGTTGTGCTACCAGAATTAAATTGAAGAGGGAGTTAACACTGAATTAAGTTATTGAAGCATTTGCACAGTTCTTTCTTATATCCACTTAGGTACAAAACTTTTGTAAAAAAGATAACATTTTATTGCATTATATAATTTTATATTTTAGTCATAATGCAAACTCATAAGCATAAATATACATGATGCAACCAATCAGCAATGTAACCATTAAAAGATTTAAAATGTAAAACTAGAATTTAACAGGCAAAATATGTAATATGGCTTTTAATGGAAATTAACTGTTTAGAAATTATTAGTTATTGCCTTTTTCAGTCATTCCTCAACAAGTGAACAGAAAATTCTGATCTCCATTTTAAATGGTGTATTTTATCTAAACCAACATTGTGTACACATTCTGTAACATGTACTGTGCAATGTGACTCATGGACTTTCCTAAATATATACATATGTACATATGTATAGATATACAGTACACAGGCAGTTTTGTTTAACACCCCTGAACACGTTGATTAAAACGATTACAATATTTCTATTATAAAACTACTTGAAAAGTTGGCATCATTCTTGGTATTGAAGTTCAATCTTACAGAATTGAAAAAAAAAAGTTGGTTATAAATACATTCTTTACAAAAAATTGAATAGTGGTCCCGCACTCATACTTTATATTACAGTGAAAACATTTTATTCATTTAAAGGTATTTACATCTTGTCGTTCTTGGTTTCTGTGTGAAATATACAGAAGTTAAGAGTGAGAATATTGTAGGCAGGCCTATTTGTTAGGTTTTTCTACTTGTTCATTTTTGTGTAAGTTCCAAATCTCTTCTTTTGAGTTGTTGTTTATTTCTATTTGCCTTGTATTACTGCTGCTGCTGCTTCCTTTGGTGTTCTGGGAACACTGGGTGACTTTACTTTGAGGAACAGGAAGAAAAGATTTAACTCGTGAAACACCCGAGTCAGTCTTTGATTTACTGTTGCTGCATTCGGTAGTTTGATGGCTGCTGAGAGGACTGACCTCCTGCAAGAGAAAAGAAAAGAATGTTTTCACATATGACACTGTCACCAACTTCTGTTATCAGTCCTAACTCTTCCTCCTCCTCTCTCTGAGTAGTCATGTAGGTTTCTCCCTAAACAAAGTTTTCATGAAAAAAGACAAAGACAATGGAGAGGGATAGCTGAGTGATTAACTTCCTGTGGACTCACTGCCTGATTTTCATTAGGCCCTTTGTGGTGTCACAAAAGTGTGAGACACAGGAGTCAGAGACTCAAGTGCCAAGAGTCTGGGATCTCCTCACCAAGAGGGGCTTCATGGAAACCATCAGATTGGACCAACTACTTGTTGGCAGCTGTATCACCTTGGGCAAGTCGCCTAACTTCTGCTTTCAGATCTGTAAACTAGAAATTGAACTATTATTCAATAATCGGCAAACACTTTGGGCACTGACCTACCAGGGCAGCGCTGGACTAGGGGCCTGGCATTTAGCAGAGAGCATGAGAGGGGAGGGCCTCGTTCAAACAGCTCACCAGTGATTTAAGGCTCCTGTGCAGCCGTTCCGTGAGCTTCCTTCACTGGAAACCACAGTCTCATTTTTCTAGTTGTCTCAGAACTCCTATGAGCACCTGGTCCATGTCTCTCATTTTGCTCAAGAGGAAACTGAGAGCTGGACAGATAGGGTGATGTGCCCACAGTCACACAGGGACGGAGCTGGGGTGAGACCTGAGGCTCCCAAGTTTCACGCGAGTGTTTCCCCTGAAATTGCGTTAAATTCTGCCAACCAGCAAAGTGAGGCCTAGTAAGTGAGCTGCTCCCAATGCTTCTGAAGTGTGGGCATTGATTATTCTCCCTCTTTTTAACCTTCTCACAGATCCATTGCACACAAATTTTCAAATATCTAACAGTTAAGTATCATGACACATCACTTCCGTATCTTCTCCCTCTACCGTTAACTATCGCCAGTCGCATTTGTGACTTAGTAAAGATGTATTTTATAGAGACATCTTTGTGTGCAATGAATCTGTGAGATCAGTTGCGCCCGACAGAGGGTTAAATTTAAGAGCAATGCAACCAAATAGCAGTGTTACCTGTAAAAGATTTAAAATGTAAAACTAGAATTTAACAGGCAACATGCTGAATGTGGCTTTTAGTGGCAAGTAACTGTTTGGCCTCACTGGCAGTTGCATTGTCCTGGGTGTCTTCTTCAATCTGTGCAATGTGACTTAGTCGTGGCCTGGTAAGGCCAATCTCACCTTGGAATTTGGTCTAAAACACCAGCAAATTCAACACACATAGTATTGAGAAGACAGGGCGCATTACCACAAGGATAACAGCTAGCTGTATAAGGCTCCATGAGCAGGGTAGCTGGATGTAACTACAAATCATTTTGCCATGATCTTTGACCTCCCTTTGGAACTCACGGAGGCAGTGCCAACGCCCACGCAGAGGGAAGGTGGCACACAGTGTGCTGTTTGCTAACCCTCTCTTTCATCTGCGTCCCAGGGGCAAGGGGTGGGCATATTCATGTTCCGAGGCAAAAGCGCTCACAGGAAGTGGAGCACCAAGAAGCATCCACAACAGCTAAGATGTGGCTGGGCATTGAGGCTGGGTGTGGAGATGGGGTGCTGAGTCTCACGGAGGCATGAGAGCGCACTGAGGGAGGCTGCTAAGCCCGGCACAGTCACTGGCTTAGTGCAGCTAACGATTCAATCCAAGGCTGGGAGTGTGAGAATCGGGCACGTGATGGACGCTAAGGATGATGTTCCTGATCAGCTGATGGCCAAGCACAGGTTCTGAAATGCTTCCCCAAAGATGAGAAGCACCAGAGCCTGGGACCAGGGGAATTAAAGAGTGTTTACGGCTTCCTGCGCTGAAACCCAAGAGTTCTCTCCATGAAACGTGTAAGGTTACTATCAACACACTTGTGCATATGAAGCTCAGAGACAACCTCCAGTTACAGAAAGTCACAGCCTATAAACAGCCTTAAAGAAACAGTTAAATCAGGGCAATTCATTCGTCCGTCCATTCATCCATCCATCCGTCCGTCCGTCCATCCATCCATCCATCCATCCATCCAACACTGAGCATCTGCTGGAAGCTAGCAGGATGGTATAATCCCTGCTCTCCAGAGGGGAAAGTAGGGGGCAGAAAGTAAAGGAAAACACTGTAGAGAAGATGCCATTGGAGACAGCTCTTTAAGGACACACAGGATTGACAGGTGAAAAGGGGAGAAGTTTCCATGGGAAGGAGAAACGGGGAAGACAGACATGGGGAAGTGTGGGGTATGGTGTGAGAGTAGTAAATGACACGTAAAAACAAGTTACACAAAGGTGTTATCAACCCCTGTAGAGATACATTTGGAAAGAAAGGAATAGGGTGGAAAATAACAAGGGTGACAGGTCAGAGCTGTTTTAGAACCATGGGTCTAAGCTCCGGCTGCCTGTGAGACTCATCAGGGAGCTTTAAAAACCCCATGACCAGGTGGCACCTCAGACCAGTTACATCAGAGCCTCTAGGGACATGGTCGAGGCATCGGGGATTAAAAAAAAAAAAATCTTCAAGTGGATTTAATTATCCAACCAAAGATAACAACTTTTGCTTTGGGGGGATTAATTTACATTTTCATGTGAAGATTTAAAATATATATAATGTTACACACACACACACACACACACACACACACACACACACACGAGGTATGACAATTAAGTTTGTGAACTTGTTGCAATGATGTTGCTAACTTTTTTTGATATTAGAGGGATTATTCATTATGAATTTGTACCAACTGGACATACACTTAACAAAGTTTACTATTGAAAGTGCTAGAAAGGCTGCGTGAAAAAGTTAGATGAAAACAACCTGAACTTTTCTCCAACAATTCATGATTCTTACATCACGACAATGCACCAGCTCACATGGCACTGTCTGTGAGGGAGTTTTTTAGCCAGTAAACAAATCACTATATTGGAACACCCTCCTTACTCACCTGATCTGGCCCTAATGACTTCTTTCTTTACCTGAAGATAAAGGAAATATTGAAAGGAAAACATTTTGATTACATTCAGGACATCAAGGGTAATATGAAGACAGCTCTGATGGCCATTCCTGAAAAAGAGTTCCAAAATTGCTTTGAAGGGTGGACTAGGTGCTGGCGTAGGTGCATAGCTTCCCAAAGGGAGTAGTTCAAAAGATGACTGTAGTGATATTCAGCAATGAGGTATGTAGCACTTTTTCTAGGATGAGTTCGCCAACTTAATTGTCAGACTGTGTGTGTGTGTATTAGTATCTGCTCTTTCTATTGATGGTTTAAATATGTGTGCATTTGTTGCTCTTTTTTATTTTAGAAGGCTGGCTAACATGCCACCCGACTAATAAACCCCACTACATTCCCTTACTGTTGGAGCAGTAAGGAATTATATTGTGGCAAATGAGAAGGATAATTTACTCATTCTGGTCCTTATAATGGATAATGGTGGCTGCCAGGCCCGTCTCTGGCCACACAGGAGAAAGTGCTTTCAACTAAGCCAGAGAGCTCTTACTTTTAAAGAGAATTACTTCCTGATAACAGAAGAAATTGGGCATCTGACCAAGAAATGCTAGCTGAGTTTATCAGAAGGCTAGAAAAGGAAAGAGCCTGCCAAGCTTTGAGAAGGTTGTCAAGTGAGTGTTACTTTGCCCTCTACTGGCAGGTCCTGAGGAAAAAACATCTTTTAGCCACTGAGGAAGTCCCTCTAAAAGCGGTCAGTGGACGAAGACGGAGCCCAGTAGGAGGCAGCTTTCCTAATACCTATATTAAATCACACATTTAAACAACCACGAGGTTCTTTCATAGGCGCCCAGGGAGTGTAAAAGGACCCATTTTTTAAAAAGTGCCTTTAAAGCAAAGCTGTCCTGAGGTGCCCGGAACTTACCTAGCTTCAGTCATTTTTATGGAAAGTAACTTATTATAGCAACCCAATACGGTCACATGACAGAGAAGTAGGGGTACAAAACAGTCTCCATTAGACATTGAAACAAAGGCAGCTGGTCACTACCAGCCACTGTTTTTATATAGGAGAGACCTGGTCCTATGTGTGGAGACACAGTGGCCAGTTGTTCTCTTCCTAGACCTTCACGGCCCCTTCTACTGACGGTTCCACGCGGAATCCTAACGAGCAGTCCTGAAGGCCTAAGAACTGTGCTCTGACAAAGCTCAGGCACAGTTCCTGAACAAGGTGTTTTCCAGCCGAAATTCTCAGCAGTGATCCCAAGTCACCCTCCTTTATGTGCTTTCCAAATTGTGCTTTTACTGTGCTTCTAAACTGTTCCCAATTGAAGAAAAAAAAAAAAGCAGACATGACGGAGTGAGCCAGTTAAGGTCATGCTCGTCTTCACAGATCATCAGGTTATCTATTTTTATGTGGGACCCCAGCCTTGCCAATACCTCCCGGGCCCCCACTTTCTTCCCCCAACACACACAGCTCACACAGTTTCACACATAGCTAATGAGAACTGAAACATAAGGAAGCTGTCAGGTGATCAGATAGGATTAATAATTTAATAGCTCACCACACTCACTTTGGAACCCTTCTCTCTGCGCTCCCCCAGGTCACCTGGTGACCTGGCTTTGTAAACCCTCACGGGGGTGGATGAGAACAGGGTGTGACCAGCAGCTGACATGGCTTGGTGAACAAACCATACATTTCTAANATGTAAAGGAAAACAGTTTGTGTATGGTCCCAGAAAGAGTTGATCCTTAGATTGCACCTTTCTGTTGTTATTGTTGTTGTTTTGGTAACAACTTTACTGAAATATAATTCACATCTAGACAGGATGTTATACAATTCTTCCATTTAAAACCATTACAATTTAATGGTTTTTAGTATATTCAGAGTGTGTGACCATCATCATAATCAATTTGAGACATTTCTATCACCTCAGATAGAACCCCCATGCCCTTTAGTTATTACCTCCATCCACCCCTCCATTTCCCCATCCTAACAAACCACTAATCTACTTTCTGTCTCTATATAGTTATTGGTTTGTAAAAAAAATTTAGAGTGTTCTGTGGGAAGATTTTTTAAATGGTTTCTTAATATATTCCCTGGCTTGGGTTTTCCCATTTCAGTTACTTGCTGTGGATAAACAGATATTGTATCCTGTTCTCTGCACTCCAGTTGGCCTAGTACCTGTACTAAACACAGTATTCACTTCAAAATTTAGGCAGAGCAAGATAGGGTTTTCTAAGACTTTATATCATTATATCAAAGCATACATTGAAAAGGAAAAGATATCTGCATTATGATTAGAGAACTTTGGTTTTACATAGACTTTCTTTCCTTTTTACACAGCTTCATCATACATGGCACGGTATAGTAGAAAGTTATATCACTCAGGACTTCCAGTCACAAGAGACAGAAGTCTGACTCACACTGACTCAAGGAAAAAGGGTGATTTATAGGCTCATGTGAACCCAGGGTTCTTTAGGTCCTGCCAAAGCTGGGTGTTCAAACCCTATTATCAGGGTTCTGCCTTCTTCTTTCTAAATGCTTTTGTGTTGATTCTATTCTAAAGGAGGTGGCAGGGTGGCTGCTAGCAGCTCCAGACTTATAATCTATCCCCACAACCACCTTGGTAGTAGGGAGAATGCCTCTACTTGAACCTGAAAACACGGTCCCAGAATTGTCTTTGGCTCTGATTAGTCCAGACTGGGTCACATGCCAAGTCTTGGAGCTGGGGAGGAAGTAAGTTCTGTTTGGTCCACTTGACAGAGAAAGGAAGGAATTGTTTCTAGGGAAAATCTGGTGTAGTTAAGGGGATGGATTTGGGCCAGGTAAAAACAAAAGATCATGATTAAAGAGGGTAGCAGCATGAGTCATAAAACCTGGGCTTTAGTCTAATTTCACTAAGTTGTTTTATTACCTGAAGCAAATCACTTAATTTCTGTTGGCCTAGGTTCTCCTTTCTGTAAAACTTCAGACTTGCATAAAAAAGTCCTCAGAGGTCTCGTTAGTCTAAAATTCTAATTCAATTAGATGTTCTGGTATCAGAATGGCCTGGCCCAATCTGATTTTCTTTGATAGAATCAATACAATTGAATAGCAATACATCCTACAGCAAATGGAGTTCCATCTGGAGTCATGAGGTTGTGGACCATCTTTGATACTGAGCATTGACTAAAAGAGTGAAAGGTGATTAACTCATTTTTGGACTCTCCAGTCCATTCAGAGAAGTTCAAATCCTTATCTTTTTTTAGAAGAAGTGATGCTGGATATAGGTTGCTTAAAGTACTTTCTTTATGTTTATATCGACCCTTCTGGTGTTACTTAGAAAAAAACATATTCTTGGAAATAGCAGGGATCAATTAGGAAAAATGAGACAGAATCAGGTTGCTCGCATAAATGATCCTCCTGATATTCTGCTAAAAAAAAAA